CAGGGGCTGGGTGGAGGGGGGGCAAAGGAGGGGGAAATGGGGGGCATCTGTAATACTGTCAACAATAAATAATAAAGAAATTAAATTAAAAGTTCTATCAGACAGGGCAGCTTCCCATCCTGTTCATGCCATGAAAGACAGTCTCCAGCACCCCCCACCGGGCCAGCTTGCAGGGTAAACCCCCCTGGGGAGGCCGGGCGTGGGGTCCGAGTGTCAGGCTTAGGCGAGGGGCATGGAGAGAAACTTTGAAACTGGAACACGGGCGGTGAGAGGGGAAGCGGCGCTGCGGGAGGGACTGGCCTTGGAGGCCCCCCTTCCGCCGCCTCAGCCTGGCTGTCTCGGGAAGGCGGGGACCTAGCCGAGCCTGGCGGCGGGAACAATGCCGGGCAGGTGCCGGCCGAGCTGCGTGAAAGGCCCAGCCCGGTGTCATTGTCAGCGCTCAGCCAAGTGCAGAAAAGCAATTTACTGGTCACGCCGCTTGCTCCCCTTGGAAATTTTTAAAATTCTTCCGATTTGAGCTATCCGCGGCGTCCCAGGTCGTGTGGAGAAGGGATTTTATTAAATCTCAGCTTCCCACTTCCTGGGGTAGCCAGGCGGGAAGGTGGGGCTCGCCCCGCGGGGGGCTCCCCCCGCGGGGGTGGGGAGGACCAAGCCTGGCATTGACTATGCTCCGGGAAATGTGGCTGGGGGGCGGGCGGGGGCCCATTGTGGGTCTGGGGGCTGATGGATGGGAAGAGGGGAGGAGCCCCAAAACTTCACTGCTCCAGTCCCCCAAAACATGGAGGTGGCAGGGAGGGCATGGGTGTGCTCCTGGGCGGATGCGGCTTTGCAAGACTTCTTGCACACCTATCAGGGCCGCCCTGTTCACAGATGATGAAGCCAAGGCACACGGGGGTGGACAGATAGGGAAAGACGGGGTTGCATAGCCCTTCCACTGTGCAGGAGGCCGGGCCCTGCTCACAGGGGACCTCCCGCTACCTCCCTCGAAGCTCACCCTGCCCAGGAAGCAGCTGCTGCAGGAGTCTGCCCAACATCCCCTCCCGAGGGAGCAGACTTCAGACGCCCACAACTAACACATGGGTCCCACCTCTATCTCTATGGCCACTCCACCTTTGTCCCTAGGGCATGAGTGGGGACGGGAGCCTGACGACCTTGCTGTGACACCCTGAGGCGGTGTTTCTTCATCTGTTAGGGATCCTAGTGCCTTTGAAAATCTGTGGAGAGCTGGGAACCCCAGCCCAGACACAGGCATATTTGGACACCATTTGGGTGCAATGTTTCGGGGGCCCTCCCCCACCCCCCATCCTGAGACCCTCTTAGGGTGAAGGGGTTAAAAACATCAGTCCAACTGCAGTTTGAATGGGGGAAAGCTGCAAAGCAAAGGGGAGGTAGGAAAGGGGGCTCCCTCACCTGCTTGGAGTCCTCACCCAGATGGACGTAACCCAGACAGACCACCCAGCTCTTTCCCGGGAGGCTGGCTCCAGCTCTGGCCAAGGAGGTGGAGGTGGGATGCAGGGGCCAGGTTCCCTCCCTCACACTCCCCCCGAGAACACAAAGACCACACAGCAACCCCTCCTGGGCCCCACTTCAAGGACGGAGAGGCAGCGAGCATCAGGAAGCTCGGGCAACAAAGTCCGCAGCCATCTCTCTGCAGGCCCGGCACTCGGGGAAAGAGCTCTTGCCCCGGTCACACAAGCAGATCCGCCAGCGTGACCCTAGGGCCTGCCCTCTGCGTAGGGACTCAGCTGCAAACCAGGCAGGCCATGCCTGGCACTGG